AAGAAAAGAAGAAAAAGAATAATAGTAAGAGTGAAACTCAACTATTTATTACAGATAAATTGGAGATCTATTAGATGATAAATCTCACAGAGATAATTAATGTACTAGCCTGTTTTATGAAATCTTACAAGAATCTTCTCACTATATAGAATAGTAGCACCGGATGCCACATAGTAAGTGATAGATCACAATTTTCAGAACTTATAGTAATCAATAATTCAATAGTTTAAGTGATTAACAAGATCATTCTGAAGGTTCAGAGTGTTAGTACTATGTTCATCTCAGTGAGTGAAAGATTGATAGAATTCAATTATGTATACTATGTATTAGAACTATCTGCAAATCTAATCTTCACTGAACTTATAAAGTGTCAGAGCTATATTTACTGTGATATACAAGTTAATGCTGAGAACTACTTTGAGTTTCTATTATCTATTAACAGTGATATCTTCTATATCAATCTGTTTCATAATAATATTTACATTCTATCTGACAGCTCATCAACATTTCATGAGATAATGAATAACTTAATATATAAAGCAGTAACATATGTAATCATTCTGAAATCAAAGACAATCTCAACAGATTATAATCTGAATGCAGAGTCTTTGAGATCTTTCAGCTGTGAGAAGATTGAACAGTTAATCAATTCTAAGAATTCAGATACTGATTTCTTTATTATCTTATCTTTATCTTAATTATCTGTAGTTCTTCTGAAACAGCTTCTGATAGATGAGTGACATTATTAACTTGATTATATTAGTGAAAATAGTATATTAAAAATGATCAGAGATCTGTGATTTAATATTATCATTATCAGTCTGAAAAAATTATTATTCTGTGTCATATGTATTAAGACTAAACAGAAACATGCTTTTTATAAGAATTTCACATCATGTTATGTCATCTGCAAGACCTTGAAGATTTGAATGAATATATTCAGTGATAATGAGACTCTTGAGACTGAAAATATATCATCTTACACTGATAAGAAGCTTATAATAATGATTACAGATAATGTCATCTGAATGAGATGAATATTTCTATTAAAATGCAAGAATGAGATGTTGAGATATTCACAGATCTTTAATTAATTTATCAAGAATCTGCTATAACATGACATTGCAATCATTCACGCAGACTGTGAAGAATTGAATTTAAATGCAGTCACAGTATATATACTCAGTGAAGAAATAAAGTAAGAGCTGACTCTCTCTTATACTTCATAGTAAGATGAAGTATCTGAATAATTAATTAATTTAATCATTGAGAAGTTCTGATCACTATTAATAGATTTCTTCACTTCTGAAAAGATGTAAGATGAGGCAGTTATTGCAGTCACAGAGCTGCTTAATCTTATACCAATCTTAATAATATTGTATAAAGACTCTGAAAATACAAAGCTGATTACACTGTATAAGATCTGACTTAAAGCTCTATCTTCTGCATATGGCATTTGCTGATAAGATTGCAAAGCATTCTTGAAAATAGTTTTCAAGCTCATTAGTAAGATAGTCTCTCACTTCAAAGAGTTGATTTTTATGAAATATAATAATTTTATTAATTATAGATTGATAAATCTCTTTAATAAGTATTTATACATATCAAAAGACATTGTCTTTTAGAAGAATCTTCATCTTGCTGATTCATTAATACTGATAACACACAATCTGAAGATTCTACTCAATGCAGTCTATAAAGCAGCTGCAGTGATTTCTTCAGTAGTATCAGATCTACTCACTGTAATCTGTTAAGAGATTACAGTGATTTCTGATTTATTAATTGATAATCTATTTATCAATGAGAAAATCTAACCTGAGTGTTCATTATTTCTCATACTTACTAATAATTGATGAATTGACTATAATATCTCTGTGAGAATATCTATCTTTTTAGTGCAGAATACACTGAATTCTCTGAAATTCACAGTTGAATCTGATGATTCTTCAATATCTATAATAAATATCACTATAGTGAGGAAATCTACAGTGAGAGAATCTTTAATAAGAAATAGTTTTAAAAATCTACTCACTGATTCTGAGATCACTGCACTTCTGATCTCAAAAAATCTCACACATATCAAAGCTTTCATGAAATGAAAGTATTATTACAAGATCTGTATTAAAGATATTACAAGATCTGTATTAAAGAGATTAACTGTTTAAAACAGATAGAAGTTTAATAACTGATTAAGAGAATATTATAAATAGATGTTCTTTATAACTAATGAGTATTTAATAAAAAGTTTAATAATATAAGTAATGTTATCTGCTATAAGACCTGCTGAGTTGTCTGCAGAAATCATTAACAGAAGAGAGTTAATTACTCAAGAATCTTTGCATCTATCATTTCTGTATTCATCTCATAAGCTCTTATGATGATCTCAGTATCTCAGAGATGATGTATTCTGCAGATTGATATAATAACTGCTTTTTTAAATGCTCAACTGTCTGCTGATAAATGAATATATATGAATTAACTTACAGAATTCTGTGAAGACTGTGATAATCTTGTATGTAAGTTAATGCAGAAACTCTACAGTCTTAAGTAAGTAGCACTCTTATAATATAAGAAGCTGTGAAAGATACTATTATACTCAGACTTTCATATCAGTCTCTATAATATCAGACTATTTATTCATGATGAAAGACAGATCTATATAATTATCTATATAAATAATATTCATCTTTACAGCCTGAAAATTGAAGATCTGAACTGAGTCAAAGTCAAAATCACTGCTAATTATAGAATCAAGAATGTAGAGAATTTCAACTACTATCTAAGAATAAAGATTGATAGAGATTTAACTTTATTAATATTATTTCAGTCTCTCTTTGTAAGAAATCTTCTGAAGAAGTTCTTAATAAATAACTATCACTATATATTCACTTCTATAGAGAAGAATATTGATTTTATAAATAATAATAAGAAACTAATTATATATATAGCAGAATTTACTCTATAATTCTATTAATCTGATATTGAATCTCTGTAATATCTGATATTCAATACATGTTCTGATATAAGCTTTATCACAGAATTTCTTGAATAATTCAGCTCTCAGCCTATATTAAAGAACTGAGCTGTATACAAGTATATACTCTGATATCTACAGAGTTTAATCAATGAGAGTATAATCTATCACGGAGATGTCAAAATTGAACCTATAACATACACAGATGCTGATTAAGCTGGTAGAGATTCAGAATCTCATTCAATCATCAGTTATATCATTTATATAGCAGGTAGCTCTGTTGCATAACAGAGCTGTCAGTAAACAGAGATCTTCAAATTATTAACAGAGACTGAATATATTGCATTCTTCAAGACTGTATATAAGCTTGTCTGTCTCTGAGAGCTTCTAGAAGACACTGAATTCATCTCATCTCATCTTAATAATCTGAATGCTGATGATTATCTTATTCTCATCACAGTCAATGATCTGACTTATACAATTCATACTGATAATAAGTCTGTCATAGAGCTATTCTCTTTCAAAGCAATTTCATACTGCTTAAAGTATATAGAGGTTCATTTCCACATTCTTCAGAATCTCATCTGCAAGAATGAGATATCTATCTGATATATTTCATCTGCTGAGAACACAGTGAATGAGCTTACTAAACTACTTAAAATGTTGAAATATATACTATTATTATTATTATTATTATTATTATTATTATTATTATTCTTTCATTATACTCATATGCAAGCGGAGCTTATGATGAGTCCTTGCGTGATGTTAAATACAGGTCAAGTGTTGGTTATACAGGAGGAAATACAGGTGTTGAGACCACGCCAAGATAACAAGAACATAGGAAAATACAAAGGAGTGACAATTAGATACATGCAATAATAACTTCCCAGCCCAGGAACATAGAGCGATTCATTGGAGCGATTTGTACACCTCTGTATTTATTAGGAACCTGAGGTGCTTGAGTTCCGGATTTAATGTATCCCCTGCGGGTTTCGAACCCACGCGCCTTGGTTTCCCACGCCAAGGCGCTACCAGGTGGCCGCATTAACTTGAAATATATACATTAGAAAGAAAATATAAAGAAGATAGAGAGACAGAGAGATAAAAAATGATGTATCTCATGACTGGTTTTTCATTACTATACATTTTCCAGTCATTTTTTGTATCTGTACTTGATTTGAAGGCGAATTTTGTATATAGTATTGTGTATAGTTACTCTGGTGAGTGGGGATGTCAGGTCACATGATCTGGCTTATTAATCCTTCCACCATATAACTTTCCACTAGCTAGCAACCTTTCAATCACACAAGCTTTACACCTTCCACAGTAATTATATTAAAGATCAATCTTCACCATTTTATGAATTTAAGTAGATTCACATTACAGCTGGCATCCCGCTATTTCACATGCTACTGCAATCAGGTTAGCTTGCTTTTCCTGATCTACTACTTTGCTAAAACGACTAGGGAAGGTGACTCACAAATTCCCTACTCTCGGGCTACACGGGGGAATGGATATCATAGATGATGCACAAGAGGAGACCTTCTGTGCTTTTGGCTGCATGAGCCCCCTCAGACAGCCTAAAAACACATCCTGCCAGCTGATTTCTCAAAAGTTGCTGAGTTTTAAATCACGCGTGGGCAGGATTCGCGGTTTTTTGAAGCCAGAGAACTGATGCCTAATTTACTACCAGGTTGATCGAATGGGTGGATCGCTTTTCGCATTTCGGGGCTGTCTATTTTTGAATTAACCCTGGTAGCGCTGGGCATTTGGACGAGGGCGCCATTCACTCCGCGCAGCCCCAGAGGTGCTTTAGTGAAAGGGACGGTCCGGAGGGAACCACTTAGCCCCGAAACGCATCGATTTCAACTGGACGGCGTAGTATCCTTAGTGGAGGCGGGAGACAAACAAAAGACTTCGAAGAAGTTACGACCATGAATTGCTAGGGACCTATTCACCGTTCTTCCATATATATCTTTCTTGGAATCAACATCGGCGGCAGGTCTATTCTAGTTTCTGGATCATGTCGATAGTTCGTGGCCATGCCCGTCGAATGGCGGCCGCCGGAGTAGGCAGCATTACAATATGCATCAAGGGCAAGAAATGTGGGGAGGTTCTTGTACCTTGTTCGCAGGGCTTCAATATACCGTTGAGCGATTCGCCCAGCACTCAAGACATCCCAACCCCGTAAATAGAACGGAGGCGCTACACTGAATTCAGCTCTACGCTTTTACTCTCTACACTTGATTGGATGCTGTCCAGGGCGCTTTGGCGCTGTATCCGTGTTTCAATAATCAGCGTCTACGTACTTTCCAACCAGGACGAGAAGGCTTGTCGGCACTGTTCCAAACAGAGCCTGTAAGGTCTTATCAGAATACATATACATAAATGAAGAACACAGACCCTTCAACATCATACTCAGATCATTTCCTCCAGTCCTTCCTTGTACCTTCCTGATAAACAAATTTGCCATTTACCAATACTCTCAGTTACCTAAGGGACAAGACCTCGTTACAATGTCCAAAGCCCTAGAGACCGCGAGAACCCAGCTCAAGAGTATTCAAAACGGAGCAAGCAAATTCACGGCTTCCCTCATCGAAGGTACTCGCATAGTACCATCGAGAAACAAGGATAAAAATGTCCCTGTCCGTGTCGATGCCGGAAAATACAACGCTATGACGAAGTTGCTCAATGTTGTCTTGCAAGTGAACTCGAAGCCTCAGAGTCCTGGCCTTGAGGCCTGGGTTAAGAAACACTCCACCCACGGGAAACTGGCCACAGCCCAATTCAACACTGCCGCTGACGATAAGAATGCTGAATATCATCGTGTGATGGACGAATTGATAACCAAGGGGAAGGAGAACGTCAAAGACGGGAAGCAAGCAGATTGAAACACCAAAACCGAACCAAGACTAAGTGGTCGCTGGGGACGGTGCATGTTCTGGTATTTTTTTATGTGCTTGACGCTCTGTTTGTTCACGATGTTGTATTCAAATTGGGGGAGATATATGTCATTGTCTGTCTCTAACTTGCTCTTTGACTTTAATTGTGCTTGAGTGTCTGAAACAAGATATTTGCTTTATTGCTGTGGACTGAGACAGTCGGAAGAAGATGTCAAGAATGATCGATGCTGGATGATTTGATTTACATGCTTGCTCAATAATCATGTAGCTAATATGTACTTCGAAGCCTTCTCAAGTAAGCACTGATCGATTGTGGGGGCCAATCCTGCTGAGACTAGAAGGTTGAAGGTTCAGATCCTTCCTCGTGGAGAATCTGCCAACAACACAATACTATCTCAAGGATTGGCAGGATGGGTCTGAGCACATGGATATGAGTCAGAGTAATGTCATCAATTGTAACATATTTCACTAAATTAGCGTAGTGGTACAAAGTGGCTAAGAGAGTGGTGAAATACGTTGACATATGATGGGTGCACAATCCTTGTTGGTCCTTGGGTTTTTGAGACTTTCCCCGCTTTCGATGGTGTCATTCACGTGATTGATCCATTGACCTTGCCACACACTTCAATGTTTGCACTGAGCAAGTATTATGCAAGTTTTAAAATAGTTACTCCGTCTACCCTCGATATTGCCCCTGAAATGATTATGAGATGCCACAAATTACTCCTTTACTCTTTTAAGAGACCCAAGCCCATTCAGTTCGGACGAACTTCACTGGTGAGTGGACACCGGACTATCTCGCAAGCGCCAATGGCAGGATGTCAATCCATGAAGTGTGAGTTCCTTAACACTCCATTGACCATATAACTTTTAACAATGTAATAAAGCACCCTTTGACTACACTGCCGGTCGATGGCTACACCTTGACAGCCCGCAGCATGAAGCACGGTACCTACAGTTCAATTTTGACCGCCTGTGTGAAAAAGTCCTCTCTCTGTGTCCTTCTGCCACTTCAATACAGAGCTGTCAGAAACTGGAGGGTGGCTTCAGTAGAGCGTTCATTATTACAACTGATAATGGGAGATGTGTTGTTGCAAAGATTCCAACATCTGTTGCTGGACCAGTTAGATTTATCACAAACTCTGAAGTTGCAACAATTACTTATTGTAAGGCCACGTACATGAGGATCTAGATTTGGTAAGGCAACTTTACTTACTTGTCCATACAGTGCAACAGAATGCCGAAATACCAATTCCAACCATCTTGGACTGGAGTGACGACCTGGCCAACCCCATTGGCTCAGCATACATTATAATGGAACATGCCGGCGGTGTTCCACTGCATCAAATGTGGCCGAAGATGTCCTTTCCGCAGAAAATGAATTGCATTAGATCAATTTCCACAAATATTATGAAGATGTCTGAACTTGACTTTCCAGGATATGGCAGTCTTTATTTTGCCGATGCAGTGTTTCTTGATACTGGTTTGAAGCAAAAGCTAGATGACTATAAGTACTGCATTGGGCCGAGTTGCAGAAACACATACTGGGATTTCAATGTTGGAGAGCCCAGATACTATGCATTTAAGGGACCAAATAGGGGACCATGTAAGATATTCTTTCTCTTTAAAATATATCATAGTTTCTCACTCGTTGGTATCTTTAGGGCGTGACCTTCTTTCATACTCCTCTGCCCTAATTGATGTCGGCCTTGCGAGACTGCCCCCCGCCGATGATCCTGTTCCTCATCAGCAACCGTCTTATCAAGGCGCTGTGAGCGAGCATCTGGAACTTTTGGGTCTGGGCCAGGCCCTGTTTCCCAAATTGATACAACACCCTCTGATACAATCTAATGCGGCGCCAACCCTATTCCATCCTGACCTTCATAAGAGAAATATTTTTGTCTCCGAGGATGATCCCACTGTTGTGACAGGTTTTATTGATTGGCAATCCACATGTATTGAGCCAGCATTCTACTATGCAGATGACGTACCTGATTTCGCGAAGCCCCCTGTGGATGAAACATCAGAGGGCACTGAGGAGAGTCTCTGCAGTCAGGCTTTTGAAGCAGGCTTGGGGCTTCTGGCTCCGCGGCTAGCGGCGGTAAGAAAGATTGACGAAATCCTCCTCCGACCATTCCGCTACTGTCATCGGACCTGGAAAGATGGTGTGGTGCCATTTACTCATGAATTGATGCAGCTGAGGGACCATTGGCAAGACTTCGGCTTTAAAGAAGGTTGTCCTATACCTGTCTTGGGCTCTGAGGAAATGCGCATTTACCAGGAACGACTAGATATCTATGACAAGATGTTGGCTGTCAGACAGGATATTGTTGAGACGTTGGGAGTTGAGCAGGATGGCTGGATCCCTGAAGATCGCTGGGAGGAAGTGAAGGAAGCTCACCAACGTATATATGAGGCTGTTTTGGCGGCCATGGAGAGTGAGAAGGACCGCCAAGATATGAAGATGATGTGGCCGTTTGATGGAGTTAAAGCATGAGATGTAGAAAGGGGGATTATTGTATCAATATACCCCACGCACCCAAGACATGTCCGCATAACCACTCGTCTGTCGTCTCGGAGGCGTAAATCTCTAGCTGGGTGACTAACTAGCGGGGCTCCCCACGGGATTACTCACCTGTAACGACGGATATCACACCGCCAGCTAAAGAATGCATAGTTAGAATATCAATGGAGCCTAGAGAACTAGTTTTGTACAATAGAGAGATATATATATAATACAAGGAGTTGCGGTTCTCACAAATCATGTCCATCCTCACTCTTACTCAAATGCATGCTATATCAAAACACAAACAAAAAGCAAGTCACGCTACAATACGCTATCAACATATACACTGAATCTGCATTAGTTTACAATGTTTGGGTCATTTTCCCCATCTTGAAGCGTTTCAATCATGTTCTGGGATAGATTGGAATTTTCTTTCTTCCACTGTCCGCTGTTTGGAAAGACAAGCCGTTGTAAACGGTTGACACAAGAGATCAAGGACTGATAGCTCAGTGTGAAATAGTCTCCAGCAATTCTAAGAAAGTCGCTCTCCTCACTTATCACTCCTTGCTTTGCAGCTGCCAGCTCTTCAGTACTCATATAATTCCATTTCTCAAACCGCTCGACAGTGCTTCCCTTCTCTGGGCCGTCATAGTGAATGCATATCCAGAACAGGACTCAGAAGAATGACTCCAGATCATGCATGAAACAATGCTTTTCGCCGTACAAGACACTGATGGCCATGAATGCCCTGGTGCCTGTCTTGCCCCATGCGCCGGAAGATGCATCCCGTTGTACCCTGATTGCCAGGTCAAGGTTGATCAGAAAGGCAGGCCATGATGGGTTGTCCTTGTCTTCATTCACCATCAGGTTTCAGGGGGAAACGTCGCATTGGATGAGGCCAGCCTCATCATGGAGTGACATGTATCCTTCAATACAGCCGGCCAGCGCAGCGAGCAGAACGGCCTTCGAGCTATTCTGGTAGATTGGTTTCCTGTAGTCCCGGATAACGACGCGGCGGTGCACTCAGTTTAATTGGGTTGAGCCATTGGCAGGTTTGGACGGAGAACTTGACTGAGTACATTTGCTTGGGGGAGGAGGAAGCGCTGTGTCCACGCAGTCAGAGGATCACTTCTGGCCGGCGGTGCTGCCCTGGCTCTTTTGTCCTCTTTGAGACATACTACACTGCACTGTCACCTTAAAGCCACTCTTCTCATCTTTCATCAGAATACTGAGGCCCTTTCAGATAGTCAAGACATCATTGACCTTGATGTCAATGTGAACAGTTTCATGGTGATAGTACTTTGCCACATTCTTGACCCTCTTCATCATCACTTCTCACAACTCTTCTTCCTCAGTGTGTTCTGGATATTGCCAGGAGTCCTTGACAACCAGCGGTATCTGTAATTTGTCAGTCTCACAGTGTGCCTTCCAGCAGGTTGTGGCTCACCCGGCGACGCAGTGTGCTCATCTGACAATCCTGTCAATGATCAGCCGTTCCTTCATACCATCTTTCTCAATCTTGATATACTGTTCAGTCCCGGTCATGATGATGGTGAGATCAAACCCAAGTTGCTCCCAGCTCATCAGGAGGAATTCAAGGACAACAGACACAAATTGAAGGCTATTCTGATTGATGTTGAACTCCTCCAACGCAATCCCGCCCAGGCAGTCAAAGTTCCATAGTTGCAGAAATGGCCTGCAAAGGGTGAACCTCAGCATGAAACAATGAGTGTCCTGTGCAGAAAGAACCTCTCTGGAATATCTGTCAAGATCAAACCATGCCCCGGATTTCCTGTTGTATTTTGGATCATTCTTCAGCTCTCCTGACACCAGGATCTGTGACCAGCGGCATCTGGAGTCTTCTGTGGCTGTCAGATTATTGACAAAGCTGATATCAAGCTTTCTCTCCGCGATAGACCTCTGTAGTGGCTGGCTTGACTGTGTGAGAGGTCTGCAGTTGATCTTCCAGAACAGCTCTTATGCTTCAGCTAATCATACAAGCTCAGTGATAATGTTAGCCAGTCATCTCAGAACATCTTTTTCTGCTGCAAGTTCAGGCCAGCCCTGCCAGCCCTTCTCTTCACTGTAAAGTGAGTTGTCTCCCCTCTTGCACCCTTTCAACAATGCTTGTGAAGCTGCAGTGAGTTGTGAAATGTTTCCAAAGTACACATCAAAGAACTCAGGGATATTGATGTGTATCTCTCCAAGCTCCTTCTTCAGCACAAAGTCAACGTGCTTTCAGTATTCTGTAGAATTGACGAAACTGCTAGTTTCCATGATATGGGAGCAGTATTCAGCCCAGGCTGAGAGGCTATTTTTCCTGCTAAAGAGTGAGCAGTCATCAATGGAAAGGCTAATGAGGAAGAAGAGTTTCTGGATCAAAATATGTGATCCATTGTGAAAGCTTGGCTATGCTGAAAAGTAATATTTATCTAGTTATATAACTGAGCGAGGGGAATTATTAAGGACTCAAATAGAGATGAACAATCAATTATTCAGGAGAAGAAACTGTCTGACAGCAAGCTCATTGGGGTTAACATTTTAGAATCAGTATGTGCAAAACTGTGATAAGCTGCTATTGAATATCTAGACATGGTTAAAAGTGACTGCTCCTCCAACGGAGAAAATGCATGTAGCTTGACTCATATGCTCAGTCACTTTTCATTTGCTATCATTGCCTCTAATTATCCTTATCATGGCATACAAAGTATTGAAGCTTTTAAATTTTCATCACAATACAAACACAATCATTTTCTTTGAAAAAGAATGTTTGACACTGTAAATGTTTATTCAGATGATGTTGAAGTGACACATTGCCTGATTGATATATACAGGCCATTTTTCTCTCACTGCTCTCCACTGTCTATCTACTTTGGATTTATCCCACATAAAATAACTGCACTTCCCCTGTATATCTTGGGATTTGTATTCCTTGAACTCCTGGTTCTGAGCCTTGACTTCACAATGTGGATCCTTAACAGATCTTAGCGATGCAGGATATCCTGAATATAAGGTTAGGCAAATTATCGTGGTCAGGTTAGCTGTCTGCATTGCTATTTTTGTCTTTTCCTTGGCACTTCTTGTTTAGATTTCTTTTTGTTCAGCTGCAAATTTCCTAAGTCATCATTCCACGAAGTAGAAAGAGGCTCACACTCCTCTTCTAACTGAGATGTAAAGCTCGAGCCCAGGTCAACAGCTCCAATTTCCTGAGAAAGCCCAGTAGTCACTTCCGAGAGGCTCTGTTCAGACTGCTGTAGTTCCTCAGGCTTAAATTCTGGTAACTCGTCAATTGCCGCGCATAGTCTTGTGACTTTGATCAACCCCAAAAGGGAAGCTGCCCTGGTGCAGGTTATGTATTCTCTCTGTGCATGACAGCCCTGTTTATCATCAATTCAGACATCTAGTAGATTTATTACTTGCTGTATCATCTTGAACAATAAAGCTAACTCTCAGCTTCTTGATATATATACTAAGAATCTGAGACTCTTCTCTCTCTTCTTCAGTTGTATTTGTGAAGCTTCATTGAGTGTCTTGATACTCTGTTTGATCAGACAATGTTAATAGATCAGAGTTATTCAAGATAAGAGCTGTCTCAGAAGCTGTCTGAGACTGAGAGATTGAATAAAGAAGCTGAGATTGAGTCTTTGAGTGAGTTTCATTTGCTACTCTAATAAATTCATTTCTCTTTTTCTTTGTTCAGTTCTGAGTATTTCAGTATGTGAATACTCTCTGCTGAAAGATTATCAGGTCACTGATCATCAATCAGTTCTTAAGCTGAGTCATAATATACTCAGAGCAACAGTCTGAGTCTTCAGACTCAGTGAGATGAGTTGTATATAGCTTAAGTTAATCACTATGATAAGTTAATATAAGACTGTATATTACTTTCTACTCTAAGATCTTGAGCTCATTGCTTTTTCAAGAAAGTTTTTCAGTTTAGAATACAGAATAATATTATCAGTAATAATGTATTTACATGAATTTATAGTAATACATATTTCTAAGATCAGTTAGATCAGATTCTCTTAATTTGAAAACTCTTCTTATCTGCTTTAAATAAGTGAGTGCACAATCACAGAGAAAGACTGAAGTAAACTGAGAAGAATTACAGTGCTTCTTCAACTCAGTGTGAAATTATTGAGTGATAGATCTATGATAATTCTGAAGTAATTTCAGACAGCTGTTTCTTTGATTCAACTTCTCTAATGTATCTTTGATTAATCAAATCTTTGACAGATTATCTCAATATGCTGATGTCAACACATTGAGCTTCTGCCTTTTCTGAAATTGTGACCTGTTGAATGAATGAGGCTGAGAATACTGATGCTTATAAGACAGGTTAAGAGTCACTGAACTAGGCATATAATCATAATCATAAAATTTTAGCTCCTTTATCATGCCAGTATGTATTGAGGTCAGAAGGGGCAGAGGTTCTTATAATTAACTTCTGCACAGGATTTCAGAATGCATTTCAGGCGCTTATCTGGAAATGATTGCTGCTGAGGGCCAGCCGTTGGTTGCTGGAAGCCAATCAGCGAAAATGTTGATGGTAGCGGCCCGAGTCCAGAATTGGTGCCACTAAGACGATCACGTGATAATATATTTTTAGCACGTCAGGGCGGATGGGAGCGCGAACTAAAATTAGCACTGCTGCCTGGAGTGTCGACTGCCCACTCTTGTGTGATTGGCTAGTTAAGAGGAATGACGGTGCACAGACCTAGCGATAACGCCGCTTGTCTATGGCAAGGGTATCGTCTGGCCGCCAAGGCACAATTAGGTGCTTTTTCTGCCACTCAATTTACAACTGCTTATTGGCTGGGCCTCCACAGCACAGAATGCCCAAATTCCTTCATAAACCCAGATACAGAGATAAAAAAATGCTTCTATGGTATGGCTGAGCATCTCCAGAATCCTGTACTCGCAAAAGGCGTCTGGTTTGAAGAAGGCAACAGCAGTCAACAAGGTCACACTTTTCAAATGATCCTTCTTGAATTCCTTGTTCAAGCTTTGCAGCGGCAGGGCATTATCACATGAGCCATGGTTTAATATGGGATGAGAAGTTGAAACCAAATGCTGTCTATCTGGTCGGATGAGGTATTTCATCTTTCCGTAGTTGCCTATTGTTAGACAACCTTGCAGATGCTTCTATGCCAGAGGTAGCAAGAAAAGAGCAGCATTACAAAGCCTAATTCGGAGACTCGGCTCCTTTTTCCTTTTAGTAGCATAACATGGTAAATAGAGGTTAATACGAAATTGGCCCTTTCTGAGTCGATCTCAAAATGGAAAAATGAGAATTTCCTAGAGCCTACTGTACAGTACTGTAAAAATCCTCATACCTTTTGAATGACCAGGATGACCGCATATAAGAATAAAATGACCCTATGCT